TTAATGATATTTTTACTCCACCAGTTTTGCGCCCCGCCAATTGACCGACCGACACTTGAGCGCCCCGACATTTGTGCGACCGAGATTTGAGTAATAATGACTGTTCAGCACCAAGTGCTCACTCTCACCCCCACTCACCCTCACCCATCCTTATCCTACACAGCCTCACCCTCAGATCTCCAAATAATTCAGTTCATTATCGGACGACAAAAAAATTGTTCTGATCATCGTTATCGAAGTGAATAATCATTCGACTTTCCTGATCGGCAAAAAGTCATATTGAAAAGTGTCTAATGTCGGAGTCGCTCAAATGTCGGTCGCTCAAATGTCGGGGTCGCTCAAGTGTCGGGCGCTCAAACGTCGGTTGACGCCGTATTCCCTCACTCACTACAACTGTCGTGTACTTACTACATAAATTAGTTATTTTTTTCAATTAATTCTACTTCAGAAAAGTACTTTTTTTCTCATATACACACGCTGTAGATATCGACGTTTTTCTTATCATTTCAGACGAGACGAAAAGCAGTGTTTGTTATACAAGACACTTCTTTCTGAAAGTGATGTGAAGACCACTTAATATTCGAACATTTTGCAGTTTATGTCTACTTTATTTTACTGAAATACTGACAGTGACGAATATTGAATACCGATGTCGAATACAATTATTTTAACAGTGTCAATTGGCGTTTTTCACATAGAAGGCAGGGTTTCTGAGACTCGAATCTGGAACATCAAATGCAGTAAATTTAATTTCTTAAAAGCTCTCTGCCGAAAGTCAGTTTCTATAAGCTGATCGTCAGGGTAGAAAGCGGCTTTTTGTGGCATTGAATTGGAAGTCGGGCGTAGCAGATCAAAATTAGGAAATTAAATTTGCCATTTTTTTGTCTCTAGACTCTACTTTGGAAAACACGTTCTTCACAGTCAAATAGCGACGAGTAGGCCAAAAAGGTGGATTTTAGCTTTATTTAAAATTACTGCATTTGACGTTCCAGATTCTAGTCTCAACAACGCTTCCTTCTATATGAAAAACGCCAGTTGAAACTTAAAATAATTGTGCTCGACATCAGTATTTCCGTAAAATACTGTTACTGGTGCAGACCTAATGATGGTGCAATCTCTCTCTTTTTCTTTTATTGTTTGTGTGGGTATATATAGTCACGTATGATCAGTTGCATATCGTGTCCAACATCGCTTCTTATCAGATGTTTTATAAAAAAATACACACTATATATAGCGCTATATATACATATTCATATAGCGTTTTTGTTGATCATACATACATTTTCAGTTCTGTGGCATTGGTTCCAATCAACATCAGTGAGTCTGGTAACAGGACAGAGAGAGGTCTTTCAGACCCCTTTATTGGATCAGCCATATAGGATCGTCGTAAATGTATGACTACTATAGTATGTATGATTGTACTATAGTAGTAGCTACCGCTTAAGAAAAAGATCATTTTTATTTTTTTAATTATTGTTCTATAATAATATTTTTGTATTTTTTAAACATGATCCTCTGTCGGGTAAGTTCAAGCTGCTTCTTCTATAATAGTATGACTCTTAAAATGCATTGGATCTGTTCATCTTCATTATTAGCGCTCGATATGACTCATCCGATTCTCTTATAAATCCTGGGTATACCATCTCGAGATAAAGTGATCATCATATTTCTGGGCGGATCCTTTTGCTTTTTCATAAAAAAGCAATTATGTTTTGCATTCTATACATACAAGTTTCACGTTCAAAAAGTAATACCCATTCATCATGATTTGCATTTCTTACTTCCACTATCAGAAACTGATAGAACAGTTTTGGTTAACCGATATAACTTATTTCGCTTGTAAACTCTTTCTCGGAAACCTGCTAAAGATCGTTTTACGAAAAGAAATTGTAGATAACCTTTTTTCCCCAGGTCGCATGATTACTTTTAGGCCTGCACCGGATTTTTAATTGATTAACTGGAACCGATACAACCGAAAAAAACTACTTTTATTTGCACACATTCTTGAAAATACGGAAACATCTAATCTGAGAATGTGCAGCGTACAATTCTGAACATTTTAGATGTTTCTTTCCAAGAAAGAGTTTACAAACAGAATAAGAAAGGGTTTTAGAACTCACGGAAACCCCTTTTAGGGGTTTTCAAAAATGTTACTATATGGAACCTTTTTGAGTATTCGAGAGCTCGACTACTCTTTCGAAAACCTTTTTGAAGGGTATTCGAGGGCAAAATTAAGAGTATGCGAACAGGAAAAGCGTTTTCAATGGTTCGAAAACCCAAAAGGGTTTCATATAGTAACATTTTCGAAAACACCTTCTGAAGGTGACAACAGCTCCTTGGTGACACTTCCGGAGGTGGCAATAGCCGTTATCGACCCCTGCTGACGGTTACAATAGCCGTCAGTGCTACCTTCTGAAGGTGGCCGGCAATAGCCATTCTGCTAATACATAAACTTTTTCTTAAATTACGAGTTGGAGATGTCTGAATGGTTTTGGATCAAAGTAAGAACATTCAGCAGATTTAGATTTTTATCTTTTTCAATTTTTTATCTCGTTTGATAATTTCAAAACTGCCGAATATTCCTTGAAAGTTTTGGTAAGTTTAAGGTCGAATTGAAAAAGCGGCTTTCTACATTTGATGCAGGTTTTTTCTCTTTCAAAACAAAAAATTGATCATTCAACAGAGAAAATGAACGCTATGAAATATTTTAAACTGCTGAATGGAAACTATTGACTTCAATTTGTTGAGGTATAGTAAATCTTTCATAATTTTACGAAAAACTATCTGAATGATCTAAACAGAATGTACGAGTTATTTTTGATCACTTTCGATCGTCTGGTTTCTTCGTATCCTAGCGCATTCAGCATTCTCAATCCATTTATAACTTTACTTCTGTACATGTCAAATCAGAAACACTTTTGTATTATTTATTATTATTCAAATAAGCATACGTTTATGGACAGAGATAGACGTTTGATCGTTGCAGCGTCATACTCATCATAAAAGACACATGATGTTGTCGTTTTCCGTAGTTCCTAAAAGTTGCACGTCAGAGTCTTATGTTATATAGGCTTCATACCTGCCAACCGTCGCAATTGCTCGAAGACGACAAACGTGATCATCGAGTGAGGGCCGACCCTGAGCCATACTGGAACGAATCCCGTGTAGAGTCCTCGTAGTCCTTCAGCTTTTATAACTTGTCTTCCACAATCGATTACACCTCGATATCGACCTGTAGGTGCGTTCATTATTCGCGATTTGATTAAATCTATAGGAGATGTTGTAACGGCAGCGATAAATCCTGCTGACATAGCTGCGAGAAAATGAGTGTGTATACCTTCTTTTGTGTATGGAAGAAGGAACTGCTTAGTTTCATCGTAACTGGCGACTTGCGAGGCAGTCAGTATGATTGCTCGTTGAGTAGTTGGACCAACACCTCGGTATAAACCACGTAGGCCTTCCTCTCGAAATATGTGTCGAAATGCTGGAATTGTGGAGGAATAAGAGTAGTTCTTTTGGCCACGTTGAGCTTGAAGTCGTATTTTTATAAGATCTGTAGGAGAAGTGAGACAAGCGCCAACTCCACCTGATATAGCGCCGGCTGTGATTTTCTTCCACAACGGGACATATCCTTCAGCGTGTAATAATTCTTTGATAGGTTCGTAAGCTCCGATGCGAATAGTACTGTACGATGCTTCTCTCCAAAGTGCCGGTTCCACTCCAGACCATAATGTTAAAAGTCCTTCATTCTGCACAATTTTTATCGCACCCCGTAGAAGTCCCGGATACCGTGTTGCTTCCGGCAGCTCGTATTGAAGCTGCATGCGTACTTTGACGACGTCAATCGGATTGGTACACAGTACTGCAGTACAATTTGACATACCTGCAAAGAGGTATCTCTGCGCATGGCTCGTATTTGACGTCATTTTCTTGATCTGTAGGCCTATTTAGAGCTGCAGAAAAATTGAAAAGTTACACATGAGTGCTCACTGAATATAAAAAACTTTACCTTGCTGATGCGCATGTTCATCATTATCCAACGAACTAAGATTGCTTTGTTGACATTTGATTTCGTGCTCGTTATACCATTAATTTGATAGCATGTTTATTTCAATCTAAAATTGTTTTCACATCAATTTTTACCAGATACCGACTTTTTCATGAGCTGAACATCATCAACCTTTTCAACCTCCTACCATGAAAAGATATGAGATGGCAGAAGAGATATTGTCAGATGCCTCACTATCACATCCTGTGCTCTGTTGGATCCATTAGTAATGATATGATATGAAAGATTTCCAATTGTATATGAAAGGAATATTCAGAAATCAACAGTTCGACAAAAAAAAATGAACTGCAATAGCATACGAATATAGAACGAAAAAGCAAGTAATGATTTTAAGGAAAGGTCAAAAGGTCACATACTATAAATATAAAAAAAAGAGAAAAAGAAGAGAAATGCTGTAACCTTCTGATCTACAGAATAACTGAGAAAAAATGTACAAAACTAGCAGAAACGCGCATACATGTATGTCGTTTTGATATAGCCTAATTGATCAATTTTTAATAATCATTTTGTGATAATATCTTTAGTGTGTATACTGAGTTCAAGATGTCCGAACGGATACCTTGCTACAGTTAATGTTGCAAGTATCTCGGAAAAGTTTTATTGAACTGGATATCTCAAGATGTTTTTTGAGTTCTGGCTAAATATTTTTTTTGATGAGTACCTAGAAGTATTATGTACTTATTTTGAGCATCTTACGATGCAATTCTTAATTAACTATTTTTGAAGAGTCATTTTCTGAGAAAATGAGGCAGTGTACGATAACCCGTTGCCGTGACCATAACTGATTCATCTGAAACTTTCACCGAATATAGGTCTATGCCAGACTAGTGTATACTTAGAATAGTGTTGAGATGATCATTCTGGAAGTATAAATGTTGTCTCGAATAATAATTTTGCAATAAAACGATCCATAAAATCCACTTGTCTCTTATCACTATGATATATTTTGGAATAATTTTTTTACTGTGAGTGTAACTTGACGTTACGCATCTATTTATACGGCATAATTACACATCATAATGGCAGGACTCCGTCAGATACAGTCGTGCAATAAACCAAAAGTTCAGCGATTAGGCATAAACGAGAGGGCAACTACGCAAAATAAAAAAATAAAGAACAGTATGTAGTCATAGCATACGCACCGAAACATATACTCTATCCTTTACATCGATCACTCATGAAAATATTTCTTATTTAAAATAATCCACTACAATATGCACAAGGCCGATCTGTTTCTTTTCTGTATTCAATATGTCATCGTGATTTTTTCGTCCTATTTACTTTAATTGATGCAGCATGTCTAAAGAACAACAAAATACATTGCTAGCAAACAGTAAAGCGACTTTATGTGAATATTTTATTAGTATTTATTTTAAAAGGTAGAATTTTTCGTTACACTCATATAGTTGAATGGATTCCGCTGCCATTGTACGATAGTTATAAGATATGTAAAATTCTTATAATTTTTTTATTGTGAATGAATCTGACTGAAATTTTTGTACAATACTTATCTCGACTATCCCCTTGACTTCAGTCTAGGGTCTTACAGAATGGTTGTCTGTGCGTCTGTGTGTGCCTGTACGCAAAATACGGAAAAATGGCTATCAGATATTCCATGGATAAGCCACTCATAAGCGAGCATCATAAAAAATTTCTTTTTAACCACGAGAGAGAAAATATTCAAAGAAATGATCTGAAATATCAGCTGATGGAGGAAGAAAAAAAGTTAAGCAAATCTTTTCCGTAAGTCGGAGATAGATGTCGCCAGACAGCAGTCAGTTGTGATAGTACAAAAAAAAGCCGCCTATGAATAATAAAACTTACACAGTATAGATAATCTATTATAGCGAATGCCCCTGCTCGTGTAGAGCATAAAAAGTTACATAGAATTCCATATTTGTTTGAAGTCATATTCTACATGCCTTTTCAGGGATGTCAAGTTTCGGTCTCTCTTACAACGAAGCAACTTTGACCCTGTTGTTGTCCACATCCATTGAGTTAACATCGACGTTTAATATACCATATGAAAGACCAGCTTGAGTAATATAAGTGCTGATACTCAAAACTTGTCCTAGTACTTTTTTTACAAGGGCACATCAGCTGTCATAAAATGGCCGAAAATGAAAAAATGGCACGCAGTATTTCACATCCGACGTCCTGCAAAGTTTTGCAGAAGTTCTGCAAAAGAACCTCTAAAGGCAAAAGAAAAGAAAAAGTTAATTGATTTGAACGCGTTTATTAGTAGATCAATCGCCAAATGGCGTCGTCGGTCCACGATTCTCATATGAAGAGGACGTGTGAAAAAAGAAAAGGTTCTTGTACTATAGATAAAAATGAAGCTAAAGACCTGATTAATCCAATAAAAAAACGATAAGGTCGATATCTATCTGTCTCTTTTAGTATGAAGTCCGTCTTTGAAGGCCCCTTTTTAAAAATAGTCAGCTTTCAGGTCCCACAGCTCAAAAACTACACGGTACAATTTTTTTGTTTTTCTCTCATTTGTAGTACTGGTCGAGTTCTATAAAATAGCGTTTCATAAATTGCTTTTCTCTACAGGTATTTTTAAGCGATTTTGTATTAATTAAGTTAAAAATAAGATGGATTGCGAATTAACAACTATTGCGCCTCGACTAGAGTTTAAGGACAGAGTGAAAAGCAGGTGAAAACATGAAAACAGTAATCAATATATTTTACTTTTGTAATCGGGAAAAGAGGATGAAAACGAAGCGGGCCAAAAATCTCTTTAAGGCCGAACTCGATGAGTACTGCAAATGAGAGAAAAACAAAAAAATTGTAATTCTGAATTACTTTTATACCTCTGAAGATCTTTGCAAGGTCTCGAGAAAACCTTTTAGGTTTATATTAGACTAGGAACCTTTCAAAACAAATGAGAGAAAAATTTACAACAAATTTCAGATAGTCCCCTAACGAACGCCGACCGAAGGGAGCCGTGAGCGTTGTTGTGGATTCAAAACTGATGGAAGGTCGTTCGCAGATATAAGTCCTATAGCCGAGGGACCACGCGAGCGCAGACGAGCATTATCTTGTAGATAATTCCCTTGACTTTAGTCTAGGGTCTTGTGGAAGAATTGAGAGAACCATGAGCGATTTCCACTCAATATTGGCTGCTTGGTAAATCACAGACTCTTCAATCAGATAAGACTTACATACTAATGCTAATGTAGTAAGAAGGATAAAACAAAACAGATCATAAAGTAGAGAAAGCTAAAGAACGGCAGGATAGACAGCCTATGACCAGTCGTTCACCTGTGTATTTGAATAGATAATCCTCTTCTACGACTGCACATGCCCGTCCTACCGAAACACATGTGTGGTTTACGAAGAAAAAAAAACAGACTCTGGCCCACCATTATTCTCGAACGTAGTCTCTGGATGAGCTCCGAAATGAGAAAAGTTTGTCTCACCTAGCAGCCTAATCTTTTACAAAAAAATTTTCGTTTTCTGTCCAATGCCTTCTGCAGTCGCTCGTCGGGATTTTATCTAAAAGTGGCTGACTCTTGCACAAAAAGGTCAAAAAATGGAAGCGTTATTGGATACAAGTAGATTTTATAGAGAATTAAAGTCGCTATAAAATGAAGAACCGATGTAAGAAAAAGCGCTTTATAAACTGAGGAACTTCTGAGTGGTTTTTGAGGAAATTTTCACGGTCTGTTTTTGATATCAGTTTTGCTCAAAACAAAAATATTTTTAACTTTAATTTCCAGTGTATCGTGTAGATGATTCACTAAAACTATAAATTCCATTCAAGAAATCTTGTTGTAAGCACACATTCATCATAATTCTTTTGTTCCTGAAGTTATTCCCTTGACTGAAAGCAAGGGTTATGAATCCGAAAATGTCTGTCTGTCTGTCCGCAAGAGAAAGAATATATTGTGTTAACGATCTAAGGTAAAAAAGACAATGTCTTATATTTTGGGTTTTTGGCTGATTTATATACTTTCAAGTACACCCAGTGTGGGCTTACTCATGAAATAATTTCGATACTTTAATGCAGGTTAGCACGCGTTAAAAAAACTAATAACTTAACGCGTGCTCACAATTTGGATGCTCTAGAAAGCGTGCAAACGTGTCATCTTTCGAACTTGCATGCGACCGGAAATGTCTCAAAATTAACACTCACTCGTTAAAACACGACTTTATTACAAAAATAGTAACAGCTGGGTTAAAACTAGTTAATCAGGAAAGGTTTGAAATTGTAACGCGACAGGTAAGCGGATTAACGCGTTAAAACCGTGTTAAATGTTCCATATTCGGCGGTTTTAACGAGTTCAATTTATAACGTGTACTAACGTTACACCTCAGTAGTAGAGCGTTCAAACTCATTCGGCTTTTTTAACGACTTCGAACGCGTTAACATTCGTTAGAATAAAATTCTTTGTATTCAAAATGTTCTAACTCGTTAGAATGCGTTAATATATTTAACGCGTTTGTATGAGTTTGTTCTGGTACTAATAAGGCACTGTGTTTTTGGTAATGGATCCTAGGATTCATCAGGTTAGGATCCACTAGGTACTGTTCATCAGTACTATTATGGTGGACTAGTCTCCTACAGTAATGTACAGCAGGAAAAAAACTTCTAAGCAAATGTTTTGTATATTTCGAAGGAAAAGGCGTGATATTTATATATGATTTGGTTATGCAAAACAAAACGGTGATTGCTAAATCGCTGCTTTAACGCGTTCATACGCTTGAAAATTTTGATGAGTCATCCCCGAACGAGTTTGTATGGGTTGAAAGTTATTCTATCCGTATAAACGAGTTAAAATAGATCTTGTTTAGAAATATATATTT